CTATCTATCTATCTATCTATCTATCTATCTATCTATCATCTATCTATCTCATCTATCATCTATCTATCTATCATCTATCTATTTATCTATCATCTATCTCTATCAGTTATCTATTATCTATATCTCTGTATCGATTATCTATCATTTATCATCTTTCTCTTTCAATCAATCATCTATTATCTATCTGTCTATCATCTATCTATGTATCAATCTATCATCTATCGTCTACCTAACTAGTCTAACAGTTACATCTTTGAGAATCATATTAAGCAATTGTTTTTAAGTACAGTGAAGGATTTCTGTTTCAAACTTTCTCAGGTAACGTGTTAGCTGGCTGTGGTTTCCAGAATGTTGGTAGATGATAAGATGCAAAACTCCTGGGTTATCAAGCCAGCAGACAGTATGAGTATCAGTATGCCAGGTACTGGTCCCTGAGCTTCAATCCCACAGGGTTAGGAAAAGGGGGTCACGTATCAGTTATACATGAAGGGGTGGTATTGGAGTAGTGTAAATCTAAGTTCATAGTATTCAAATAAGCTTGGATGCCTTTTGCTCTATAAGAAGACACTGTAGCTCCATGGCTATAAATAGACTTACCTTTCATTCCAGTTGGAAGTACTGTTATCGCCATCTTTCAAGGTCCCTGCAAGGCTGTCTACTACATAAACATCTTTGAAAACTTAACCTAGAAATTAGTATCTTCTTTGTATGATATGCAAATACACAAGTGATTTATTAAAAATGGTTTCTCAATATTGATGATACAATAGTTGATACAAGACAGAAATAGCCTTCAACTTTAGATATTGGCTAAATTGGCTAAAGTGATTTTTTAAATTAAAACCTCAAAATTTAAATTTTATTTTATGTATATGAGTGTTTTGCCTGAGTGTATGTAAGTGCACCATGTGCATGCAATGCCCTTAGAGGCCAGAAGAATGTGTTGGATCCTCTGGAACTGGAGTTACAGATGATTGTTAGGTGCCATTTGGGTGCTGAGAACCAAACCCAAGCCCTCTGCAAGAGCAGACAGTACTCTTAACCACTTAACTGTCTCTCAAGCCCCAAATCCAAAACTTTTAATGGTTCACAATATATTCAAAATACTTGTCAGACTCCTGAGCACATGAAGCCGTAGGATCTATCTCTCTTTATATGTATAAAATATATATTCAGTATATATGTTCAAATGTCTATATCCATAGGGTTTGGATCTGTGGATTTAACAAACTTAGAATTAAAAATACTTGTAAACACCCATCTTTACTGAATATACGTTGACATTCTATTTCATCGTTATTCCTTGAAGAATACAGAATGGTAACTATTTACACAGTATTTTCATTATATTTATGATAATAAGTAATTCAGAGATGATTTAAAGTTTCTGGGAAGATGTGTGTAGACTGTATACAGCTACTGCACCATTTTATATGAGAGATGTAAGCTTCTGAAGATTTTGTTGTCCACAGAGCCCTGAAATCAATTCCCATGGATCTCAAGGGACAGCTGTGTAGTGTACATGTAAAATGCATACCACAGACACATACCCACACACCACACACTTGCACACACATATTCATAGATAAGCACACACATCTATTTATATGACTTATTTTTCGCTTCTTGTATTTAAAATGTAAATAACTTTGTGTATGACATTTATTTTTTCTGGTCCCTTATTTTGTGTCAATTCCTTAATAAATGGTATAGATGTGCCATAAAATGCTCCTTTCTTTCTATCAACACTGTCCTTGGGAAAACAAAAAAATGTGTGCATAATTTGAAAACCTAATAGTCATTAAAGGGTGGCAACATTGTCCTGATTTGAAGACCACCTTCCATCCACAAACTCTAGAACACTATGCCCCACAGAGTGGAGTGCACTGAGTTGTTGCATTGAGGTAATTTGAACCCAAGACCCTTTCCACAGTTTGAAAATTGTGCTTTGAAAATTGAAAACATTTCTTTTTGTTAAACACATTTCCAACGACCATAAGCTCAAAGGCTCTTTACTTATGATAATTCCAGCATAAAGATTCATGGAAACGGAAAGATGTCTTCAAAAATAACCGGAAATACATTTTATTATGAGATGAGAAAGGAGTCAGATGGCTGTTTTGGTTTTCTTCTTCGTCCTTTGACAAGTGTTATTCTTACTACAAGTGTTTCAATTTTGCCCTGGTTGTCATTTTCATTTTCAATAGGAATTTAGCCAGGAGCATTTATGGCTAAAAATGATTCCTATAAGTTCATCCAAAAGCTTAATTACCAGCAATGTGTTGAAACTACTCTGGTCTTCTTTTCAAGATAAAATCTGTGTACAACAAACACAAATTCTAAAATGTTTCCGACCTCTTTCTTCATTAAAACATGATCTCCTATAGTGTCCAGTAAAGGTTTGTCAGTGGAAATTATCCAGCGAGCACTGGTCTGAGCACTCGGGGGGTCTTGCACACAAAGGGTGAACCAGGGGTGTGGGGAGGCTGTGAAGCGTCCCTGTCCCGCCTGGCCTTTTGAAGCCCGCCCCAGCCGTTAGCTGGCACTGGGGACCTGGACCAGGCTAAACTTGGGGCTCGGCATATTTGAATGCTTCCCAAATTGCAGTCCTAGCCAAAGAGGCTGAGAGAGAGAGGAGCGGAGTGCGTGCGCGAGCGAGTTGAGCGCTTACGTCGCAGCAGCTCTGTGCTGGGATAATTAGGAGTTGGGTTGAGCCGAGTCCTCTTTTAGCAGCAGCCGCCACAGGAGTGGCAGCAGCAGCTCAGAAGGGCGCGTGGGACCCGCCGGCTCCGAGCGCACAGGGACAGGCCGGCGCCCCAGCCACCGCGCCACCTCCCCGGGCGCACAAAGGCGGCGTCCGCCCTCGTGGCCTGGTTCATCCCGGCGCCAGGGAACCCAGCTTCTCTCCTCCTCTCCGCAAGGCAAAAATGGCAGGGCCTGGCGAGGACCTGGGACAGCGGTGGCCCTAGCCCTGCGGGTCCCCACCCTTCCAGAGAGAGGCAGCGGGCTGTCCTCGGATGATGTGGCCACGGCTGCTCCCTGGTGAGTCCCCGCCGCCAGCTCTCTTCGCTTGCTCCATCCCTCTGAGAGGAGTTGATGCCGCTGTCACCCCAGCTGCTACTGCCTCTGCCTTAGCTGGGCTGATGGATGCCAGGGAGTGCCGCATTGCTTAGCTTCCCCGCCTCCGGGTTTGCTGGTAGGAACCGGCTGCTCTTTCTTCTTTCTGGCTTTGGGGGTTATAGGAGAACGAGACATTTTTATTTCATTCCCTACAACTCCCTGCACCCCCCTCCCAACCCCGTTTCTGACCTGTACATTTTCCAGAGAGGTCCGTTCTTTTCCCCACCCTCACCTTTCCACCCCCAAGGCAAGTCCCTTGAAATAAAGAGATAGAAGAGGCAGAAGTTGGGGGTGGGGTGGAGAGCCCATGCCGGGGCCAACATTACCCTAAACCCTCCCGGAGTCTTATGAGATCACGATGTGTGGAAGAGGGGCGGAGGAAGGTGCGCTATCTGCAGAGTCTCCCCTAATTGGATCATAATAATCTAAAGTAAAATCACACAAAGATATCTTGTAAAAATAGCGTCTTTGAATAAGCAGAGGGAAAAATAAGCTCTTTTCCCTCCCTCCTCTCTCTCTCTCTCTCTCTCTCTCTCTCTCTCTCTCTCTCTCTCTTTGCCAAAGACACTCTCTCCCCGCCCTGGAGCTCAGCGCTGAAGAACCACCTTATTATTAATCAGAATCCCGGTCTTTATCCGTGGCAGGCACATCCTTCAGCAGGGACCGCAGCAGCATCATAGTGCTGGGGCTGAGATGTGCGTGGGGGTTGTTTTCGTTACATCTTGGAAGACAAGAAGAGAACAGTACCAAGATCAGAAGCACCCTTACTAGGTGAAATTAGGATTTTTTTTTTTTAAATCTATATTTACAGAGAAAAAGGACAAGTGACAGGTTTGCAGGGTCCACCAAAGACCCATATCTATTTAAGGAAAGAGAAGAAGGAACAAATGTGAGGCACTGTTTTTTAGGGGGTTGGGGGTAGAAGTTTCGATTCCCCCACAGCAAGGCTGTGGAGCAGGAGCAACAGGGTACTTGATTGGACACGAAGAGGAGTCATTTCCTGTAAAGGAAAGGAAGCAGACAACACCAAGGAGAACTGGGGGCCAGAGTGTGGTGTGGCAGTGGCAAAAGCCAGGTGTGTTGTGGGACAGTCTAAGAGAGCTCTAGAGGGGAAGGCTTCCTGTGAAGCAGAAGAACAATGACTCATTTGCAAGCTGGTCTCTCTCCTGAGACCCTGGAGAAAGCTCGCTTGGAACTCAATGAGAACCCAGATACTCTGCACCAGGACATACAGGAGGTGAGGGACATGGTCATCACCAGGCCAGACATTGGCTTTCTTCGCACAGATGACGCTTTCATCTTACGATTCTTGCGGGCCAGGAAGTTTCATCACTTTGAAGCCTTCCGCCTTTTGGCCCAATACTTTGAGTACCGGCAGCAGAACCTGGACATGTTCAAAAGCTTCAAGGCCACTGACCCCGGCATCAAGCAGGCTCTGAAGGATGGCTTTCCTGGAGGTCTGGCCAACCTGGACCACTATGGCAGGAAGATTCTAGTCCTTTTTGCTGCCAACTGGGATCAGAACAGGTAAATCCTAAATCTAAACTTGTGCTCATGATCTTTTTACCTTCTTATTTTCTAGAATTTATCCTTAGGAGTTTCATAGGATTGAAACTTTGGTGTTTATGTTTATTTTGGTTGGGAGTAAATGGAAGATGGGGTAAAGAAAAGAGATTTTGGTGGGCACCTGGGAAGAGGGGAGGACTTTTATTTCCACTTTTGAAACTCTTCCATCACTTAACACAGTTTTGACTACAGCTTCAACTGCTCCCTGAACCATATTATGACGCAGAGACCTAAGTCACTTAACTTCTAAATAAAGCTTCTAAAATGTTCACCTTCTAAATAAATTTGTTGGTGTGGGGAAATGAAGAACAAATAAAGGTAGCTTTTTCTTCTTTCTCCCTCAAGAAAATCATAAAATAGTTTAATCATCATCATCATCCTCTTTCTCTCTCCTTAGTAATGATATTTTCTCTTCCCAGAATAGCCTAGTGCTCAGTCAAGAACAGGCAGTTTATAGCTTGGGAACTTTTCTGCTTGGTGATGTGTAGATGAAGGTTTAATATGATGTGTGTCACTTCAATGAGAAAGAAGAGGTGTACCCCCTGTCACTGAGCATGCCTAGCGACGCTGAAAATAAAGGCTGACTTACAGTATGCTTGTTCTATACCTGTCACTAATCTGAAGAATGTGTTTCCTGTCTGATGTGATTTTTCATCTTTTGGAAGTGGAGAACATTAAGATATACCAGCTGATAGACTCATTGAGCTCAGTTGCTACTTAGCAGGGGAGAAATAATATTTTTACTTTATGTACTTTGTATTAGTTACTTTTGGGGGGGCATTCTCATTCGAACTACCACATACTTTATTGTAGAATAATGCTAACAGTGACACTCTACTTCCTTAATCCCAATTGTTTTCTCAGGTTGAAAGATATAAGAAATTATAAAAGGTTTTTCATTATGGCAGTTTCTATTAAGTACAAATTTAAATGTATTTTATAGAACTTAAAAATACTGTCAGAACTAAGGCATATAAGAAACTAGTGTATGTATTTTTCATTCTGTGAATGTATCTTCAGATGCATCTGGTTAGTTTAAACTATTTCAGCTAGAAGAGAGTTCTATACAGGCTTCTGAAAGTCTTAGTATGCTAAAATGTAAATTTATATTTTAATAGATTTTTCTCCCTTTAACTGGTCATTCCTTCATATAATTCTAGGTTGAGAGGTACTTGTGATGGTTTTTCCTAGTAAATATAAAGAGAAAGTACTACCTGAAGAATCAAAGTTTAGACACTCAGAGAGAATTAGCCTTTGAGAGGGATTGGAGCTCCTTTGCTTTGACTAGTCATATGGATTTTATATGTTTTTTTTTTTATCAGATAGGAAACTTCAAAGGACTATGAAATTCTACCCACTGACCAACTACAAGTTTTCTTAAAGTGTTTTTCTTAATGCAAAAATTTCATTATAGAGTCATGCAAGCTATTTGTACCTATCAAAACTGAAAAAAAACAAAAACTTGTCCTCGAACTGAATATTCTTTCCATCCATTAGATTGGAACTTTATTTATTGAGCTATGTGATATTGAACTATAGTGATATGTGGATATTTTATATTTAAATATGTCTTGAGTCTGTTTGAGATCCTTAGAGAGGCAGGTTTCATCTCTCTCACACATATACATCAGAGCTATACTGCTTCTTTCTATAAGTCAGCAAATATTCACATTGTTTATAAGCCCTATTAACATGAAAATCACAGTTCTCATGTATGTAGGAAGAGATTATTTTAGACATATGAAAGAAATTAAGTTTTAGTTGCTTATTGCAACTGATATAAAATACAGGCTATTATCAAAACTCTGGAAATCGATACTGGGCGGGAATTTGTTGATTAGTATGTGGCATTATTTTCATTAAGCATATGCAAGATGATATATAATAAAAGACTGTGGACTCAAAATTAAAAATTGTAAGCCATGTCCTATGGAAATACTCTGTCACGGTCTATAAACTGATAAGAGGATTCCATTTCTATGATTAAGAAAAAGTTACAGTACATCAAGGGAAAAAGTATACAAGTGGTTTATGACTTGTCTAAATTTCAATTATATTTATTCTTCCTATATTGTTAAAAGAGTTTCCTTTATCCTTACCTACTACACACCTCCAATCCACATATACTGATTGACAGGAACTGGTATATAAACAGTTTTGAGTTTGACATCATCTCTAAAGCTTAATTTGTATTCCTGCCTTGAAATGGAAAGAGCTGTTTCTGACAGTGCCAAAACCTCTCCAGTTCATCTTAGCTGGAATCCCCTCCTTCTGCCCTGAAGACTCAAGGTTTACCCTACTCCACTCCTATAGAAGGCTCTGGTACCTTCTCTGTGTGATACCTTGCTCTTAGGTACACATGACATGTGCAAGCTACTCTGGCTCCTCAGCCCTCTCCTTCTCTGTGGCTCAGGTATTCTCTCTTTCCTTTCCTTCACCTGGTCAGTCCCAAATCACTGAGCTCAAGAAGGCTGCATGTCTGAACTTAATACTGACATCATCCCTTGAATTGAATGATTGTTTTTAAAAAGTAGTATTGTTTTATGGAACCAATAGGTAGGAAATGTAAATGATGACCGGGAAATTCCAGAAGTGGAGTAGAAGAAAATTCCCTTCACGTAATTTGGAGAAAAAGATTATACACAACTTCCTAAGTATAGAGGTCCAAGATTTCATGAATTTTGAGAAAATATTGCCAAGTCTGCTGAAAGAGTTAATGTGTAAAACAGAAACCATGCTGTTATAGTTATAATAACACTTGTACTAGACACTCAGCAAGTAACTGAGCTGAAAGAAAAACATAGTTTTCATAAAAATTCTAAGTAGAAATGTATCTATTATGAGCTTTCTCCTTTATTAAACAAGTAGGAAAATTTGCCTGATCCACAGTACACTGGAACCATAAATGTATGTGAGATGGTGACTATAAATAAAATAGTGCCTTTTTCTAATGCAATAGAACACAGGTTAGTTTAAGGCTTTTATAAAGAATTGAACCATTTCCAAAAAATTTTATGAGACAGGGAGTTATCAAGTCCAGATAAAGCAGAATATTTGCAGTGTTGCCATTTATAAATCTAAAACAACCTGAACCAGTAAAATGTCAAAATGACTTTAATTTGATCTGTGGTTCTTTTGAAAAAGAAAAGGACAGGCTCAGATGATTGGTCCATTTTATTGATCAGACTGTTCAGAAAAGATTCATACAATTTTGTCTCCTTTCTTTCAAGTAATTTAACATAATTTCTGAAAACAGAAGTAAACATCAGGAAATTATAAACAGTTTCATATTCACCCTGTATCACTAGACTGAAGTAGTTTTCCCTGGACCCCAGATACCACATGCTTCATTTCTT